AGCAATTAGCTTAGAGCATAATCAATGGAAGTTGTTAAGTGGTTTTTAATGAGTTTCTGAAAATTTAAAAATAATTAAATAATACACAAAACACTTAAGAACTCCAATAAAATGTCATAATTTAAGAGATTTAGAATCCCAAAATATGGGGTTCTAATTGACACAATACAATTTATAATAAAAAAATCACTTAGCACCCCAACTTAACAACTACCATTGATTATGCTCTTATGCACTTGTTTCCGTCTTTCCATCCCTTTTTTTAGTTCTCAACTTACAACCGATGGAATTCTCTTTGATGTCGCGGAAGCTGTTCATCAGAGAGAGAGAGACGATGTAGAAGTGCCTGCTGAGGTGAAGTAGATAACAAGGACTATATCTTGTTCTTCTTCATTTTGACTTTAATTATAACGATTTCAGGGAAATATCTTAATATTCACATGAAGTGATAACCAAATTCACTTGTTTATGTTCAGCCCTTATTATAATCTTCCTTTTCTGTAGTTTTTGAGATTTTACAATGACGTGGAAGAAAATACCCAGATCTACGTGCCTTACAATATACTTCCCCTCGATCCCGGTAGTGAAAATCAAACTATAATGAGCTTTCCTGAGGTAATACAAAAAGATACTCCTGGTTTTCTATTTAATTATCGTTTTGAGTATAAAAACATATAACATTTGCGAGCATTTTACTGTTATTCAGATAAAAGCTGCAGTAATGGCACTTCGTAGTAACGTGAGGAACTTACCCTGGCCTGAAAATCAAAAGAATAAACGTGATGAAGACATGCTAGACTGGCTTCAAACTATGTTTGGTTTTCAGGTGAAATTTTTTTGCTAGTGTCGATTAACTCTCATAATGGCCATGCTTGATTTCGATCTATCCTGTAATTAAAATGGCAGAATGACAACGTTTCAAATCAAAGAGAGAACTTGGTTTTGTTACTTGCCAATGTCCAAAGTCGAAAGTTTCCGAATGAAGAACCACCAGAAGTATGTATTTGTGTCGAACTTAGTTGTAAATATATATGTGCTTTTCTTGCTTTGTGCCGAGCTAGTCCGTTGTATTTCCACTAACAGTCTAAATTACACTATTGTTTCTAGTTGGAGGAGGGGACTTTGGATACAGTAATGGGTAATGTTTTAGAAAACTACATAAGATGGTACAAATTCTTGGATCTGAAAGACAGCAAATGGTAAGGCTCCTACTTGTAATTATATACATGCCTTGTACCTATTATATCAAGTTATATTCTCTTTGTTGCCATTTGTAGGTCGCCACATATTGAAGAAGAGAAAATAAGGCAGAGGAAACTGCTATATATTGGACTCTATCTTTTAATATGGGGAGAAGCTGCAAACATCAGATTCATGCCCGAATGCCTTTGTTATATATATCACCATGTACGGCTTTGGTTTAAATTATGCTTTACTTATATATGTCTTATTCCCAGTTGAATTTTATTTTGTTTTTCTGGATCTGTTTAGATGGCTTTTGAGTTGTTTGAGATGTTGGAGAGGAGAGTTAATGAAGAGACAAGGAAGCCTGCAAAACCGGCATATGGTGGTGAAGATGAAGCTTTCTTGAAGAATGTAGTGACTCCAATCTACCAGACAATAGCCAAGGTTGGTTGCGCTTGGCCACTTGTTCAATCTTGTTATCTCTAGCTTGCCTCCGATCAAGTTCCTACTTTTTCTCATCTTAACTTAATTTGTACACTACAGGAAGCAAAAAGAGGTAGAGGAGGGAAACATTCCGAGGGGAGAAACTATGACGATTTGAACGAATATTTTTGGTACAATGCAAATGCATCATCGATAACATCATAATAGCCTTTTCGAAAGTTTCACAACAAGACCCCTTTGTCTTTGAATTTGTAGGTCAAAGAAAACTCAATGCAATCGGCAAAAGTGGATTGAGGAAACTGATCATGCTGATTTCTTTTGTAAGATACTTTAGTATTCATTCAGTGAATTGGCAAAAGACCCATTCGATTCCATTTATTGCCAACACTCCTTTATTTGAATTTCTTTCTTACTTTTTTGGTCTTTATTATGCGAACTCATGCTGACTTCTTCTGTAATACAGCAAAAGAAATTGCACAGGGCGAATCTGAGGTACGCGTAAAACTTATAAGCTTTGGAGATTGGTCTATAATGTTACAGTTGAATTACTATACTAGGCTGCGCAATATAGACAAATATTTGAATGAATTTCTTTTATCTATAATATTTTGTTAGGATTGAGCCTATGTCAATACCTTTAAAATCTTAATACGTTGAACCCAATCTTCAATACAAGGTTACGAGAATATGATGCTTTGTTAGAATATTCCACAGTACTAGAAGTGGAGATAAATCAACATTATAGTATATAAATACAAACCTCTCTATTCATTGTCAATTTGCTTTGATTTGGAAACTCATAATCTCACATGGTTTCATATCCCAGTGAACCCAAATATGTATAACTGATCCAAAAAGAATGTGGGATTCGGTCAAAAATGAATGAACCAAAACAATTATCATGTTCGAACATGTTTATAATATACCACATTGATTTGGAAATAATTCAACACTATTATATAAAATGAACCTCTCCACTTATTGCCAATTGATATCAACTCTAACTCATAATCTTACATCATTCAAATTTATAAGTCATTTAATAGTATTATCTTTGCTTTGTGGATTTATTATTTTTATCATCATGATCACAATTCCGCAGAATAAACCAAACACCGGAGACCAGGAGCGGACGGAGGATGAAAAAAGTGGTACATCTCCACACCCCTTCAAAATCCCACGATTAATTTCTAACTCCCCCAAAAAATATAT